AAAAAAAAAAGAATAAACAACTTGGTTAAACAGTTTGTATTGCTGAAAAAAAAATGTAGTTAAAACTTTGATCTAGTTTCTGAAGCTTTACAAGTGTTGGTATATTTGCCATCAGAGTAAAACCTTTTTCTGTTTTATAAGAAACCCAGTTAATCTGGAGGAAACATTGAAATATCATCACACCAATAAGCGTCAGTCTTCCATTTGGGCTCAAAAATATTATATTTTACAATCTTCTGAGTCAGTTGGAAGAAACGCTTATAATATATGATTTGCACAAAAGGAGTTCCACTGTAAAAAGAAAAAAAAGATGAAAAATGACTGCTTGTAGAAACAGGCCAAATAGGATACAATGAATTTTAGTCCTGGGTTTTCATTCTCTAGGGAAATCCATCAATATCTTTGGATATTAGTTTTTTATCTGTACAATTATGAGAGCAGACTAATTAATTTCTAAGGTATCTTTTAGCTCTAAGATTCTAAGTTTTTTTTCCTTCCCAATATCTTTCCACCTGTACTATAGGTAGATCTTTATTCCGAACAGATTTTCTATTTTGCTGCAAGGTACAATTGTGTTCCCAAATTGGAGTTAGGAAAATGAAGTTTTACAGCAGAGTTATGCCTATATATAAAGGCATTAGGTCCTATTAAATTATTTTCTAACGGTAAAATTCACACAATGTTAAAAGAAAGTAGAACACCAAACGAAAAGAAACTCCACACTTAAACTTAGAAACCTTTGTATAATATGATTGTAACCAATATAGCATGTTTGTCTACATTAAATTATATGCTCCTAGATTTTCAATTAATTCCTTCATTTATTTTACAGGTAGGGTAGATTCCTTCATTGTTTAATGCCCACCGTCTTTTCACTACAACCTACTTAGCTTTGTGACAAGCGATTTCTAGGGTACCGTAAACATTTTAACTTACCAGGCGTGGAGGTGGATGCCTTGCTACTCTTATTATGGAGACTCCTGAAATGATAAACTGGATATAAAAACATATATTTATAAATACTCATTGACAATGCTCATCAACTTAAAAATATTTTTAATAACTCGCTCTTCTAAGTCAATTATTTTTAGAATATTAAGAGTAAAAAAATATAAAGAAGTTTCAGTGGAAGAGGTGAGGACAAGTTTATATCATATAGTAATGAAGATAGCAGTATGGTCACTAATAACAGAAACATATAGGGAACAGTGGGCATAATTCAGACAGTGGGTTGTGGAATATGCCAAAGGTGACTTGAGCAGTCCTGAATCAGGGACCAAGTTTGCTTATACCTGCGCATGCTTTCTGAACTCATTCGACTCTTACTTCTAATGCTATACTTCCTATTGAGATGCTGTCACTGATTATAATTACTGTGTATGAAACCAGATGTAAAAAAGGAGTCCATGAATCTATTCCAGACTGTGTTTGTACAAAATACATCTCTTAACTGAGACTGTAGCCATTATTAGCCTAACAGCTGCTATTCATGTTTTTGCGTTTGTTTTGTTAAAAAGAGGTTCCATTATTTCATACCAGGCTACTTTGTCTATTTCCCAGAAGTGTAAAGCTATGTCATATTGTTTGAATGTGGGCTGCACAATCCCTGTGAAATATTCCCTTTGTCTTATCTGTTTTAGTGGTTTTGACAAAGATCTAAGTCAAAGGCTAATTTGTGGAAAAACAGCATTCATACTATACACCACATACAGGAAGGCCAAACTCGGAGCTTACTAATTACTCAGGGATAACCTAAGTCTACACACTCAGCACTTCATTCTGTAGCAAAATTGAGATTTCTAAGAAGGTACACAGTGAAGGTAAGAACTACAAAGTGAAAATACCTTGTGAATGTTAAACCAGTGCTAACTAGATTACCAAACCACGTGCTTTACAAAATGCCTTTCAAAGTTTATGACCTAAGTGAGAAGTTTTGCATTGGATTATATTTAACTGAAATTTCAGACACCTTAATCTAGATGCTAACCATGATATTTTTATAACGTGAATGATGAAAAACACTGAAGGACAGGAATCATTTATCTGGATTTTATCTGCAAATTTACTATTTCTCTCCTATTACTTTACAAGGCAATGCTTTGACACCTATAAGCCAATGTACAAAGGCAGTGGCTCTCCTAGAGGTCACTGCTTCCTTTATAGCCCTCTCAAATGGTGGCCATCTTATCTCCTACTGCCCTTCCATCACCGGTTCTAAGCACGGGTAAGTGGTCTCCTCGCCCCTTACTGTTACTTCCAACCATTCTTTCTCCTCCAGCTTTGAATCAGATGTCACCAGATTCTATCACCCACTATCCCTTCTGGTTGAAGTCATCTACTGACCCCCTTGGTCACTCTTCTATTTCTAGGTGATTTTAATTCTTTTCTAACCTTTTCTCTCACACCTCTTAATCCTTGGTAATTTCACAGTATTACTTATATGATCTTTCTTATAACCTGGGCTTGTAGTTCTTTGAATTTCTCTCCTCTAGTCCTTTGACTGTATCTTATCTCAGTCACTCACTCCCATGTTCATGCTCTTGTACTTATTTCTGTCAATAGGTGCAACACCCTCCAAATCTCAATTTTAATTATCTCACTCTGTCCACCACCTCCCATCTTTCTAGCTCATGACCTGCAGTGTTGCAACTCTAACAATCCTTTGACCCCATCTGGAGCTATAATCTGAGCCCCTTACTTCTGTTATATTCTTTCCTTCACCAGCTTCAATCCCATGGTCAGCTATTAAAAACGCTCATTTTTATACACTCTCAACTCCTTTGCACCTTTCTTGTTTGATCACAGTTGAACGGTTAACCCAAAATCTTCATTAAATGCAGTTGTCCTTCTTACTACATGCCTGTGTCCATCAGCTGAACATGGCCTGAGAAAGATGTACATAACCATCTTGACCCATCTCACTAGACAATCATGTTCTAAAAGCTTAAGCGAGTCCTTAATGCTGCATGAAAGTCATACTACTTTTCCACAATCCATATACTCTCTCGCTTTTCCTAGACGACTATTTCCTGTTCTCGTCTCTCTCCTCAAACAACCAATCCATTCTCCATTCACACTCTCAGATCATGATCTTGCTTCCTAAATTACTGAGATATTTGAGGTCCTCAGAAGAAAAGTTCCACAAGCTCCCAACACCCGACTACCTACCTATAAAATTTGTCCTTTCTCTCTGGTCCTCTACCTTCCCTCCTGTCACCTGCCTGGACACTATTTACATTAAAGGTGGATAATTTTTTGCTGGAGGCTGTCTTGTGCATTAGAGGATGTTTAGCCGCATCCTTGGCCTCTGCTTACTGGATGTACACCCACAGCTGTGAAAACCAACAATGTCATCACCAAATGTCCTCTGAGAGGAAAAATCACCTCTAGTTGAGAACCACTGCTAGAGATCAACTGTCCATACTCCTAGCTATTTGTGTATTAAAATGCTTCATTTCTTGCCTACCCAAGTCCATGATTCTAATAATCCCTCCCTCCCCCCATTTATCTCATATATCATCAGTTTTATCTCTTCTGGTTCAGTCCCTTCAGCAAAAGACATGAAACAACCTACTGAAACAAATAAGCAAACCTTGCCCTGACCCAAGTTTCCCTCAACTACCACCTCATTCCTCTATACCACATTACACCAAAGCCCTTAAAGGAGTTGTCTGTATTTGCTGACTCTAATTCCTCTCCTCTCATTATTTTTTATTTTTTAATTTTATTTCATTTTTTCAGTTTTTGGCCTCCCCCACGGCATGTGGGATCTTAGTTCCCCGAACAGGGATCGAACCCACGCCTCCTGCATTGGAAGGCAGAGTCTTAACCACTGGACCGCTGGGTCTCTCTCATTATTTTTTAAACCAATTCCAATCAGGCTTTTGCCCCACCTTCCGATGATACTATTTGTCATGCTTACTACTGGCCTCCATATCGCTAAACCCAATGGTCGATTCTCAGCCCTTGTCTTATTTGACAACATAACACAATTTAATATAGTTGATCTTTCTCTATTTCTTTGTTCACTTGGCTTTCAGGATGTCATACTCTGCAGACTTTCCTACTACCTTATGGCTGTAAGAAACCACAGAAGAGTGCAGGTGATGACAAATTTAGAAAATTTGTGAGTATAGACTCATTGTGTGAGGAACCTAAGGTAAAGACCCTAAATACAAAAATTAACCATGCTAATGGAGATTGTGCTTAAGATTCTGTCTTTCACATATCTAAGGACAATCCAACCTATGGTTGTCATTGTGTATTCACTCCTATATCTACATCTCTTGTAATAGTACTGGTAAATTAAAGGTGCTTAAAAAATACTTGCTGAAAAAAGAAATCTGATTTTGAATAAATTACCAACATGGGATTTAGTTACTTAGCTCTCCTGAAAATTTTGTTTAGAAACTGTTCCCTATGTTCCACTAGTGGCATGAATATTATTTACTGAATGATTAAATAATATAAATATATTCTACTTACAATAATTCCCCATAAAGAACATCCTGTTTTGTAAGTTATAGGTTCATATGTCCCAAAGACTCCTTTAATTTGTCCTATATACAAAATCAATAGGAGATACCACATGAAAACACTAAAGATGCCAATCATAATCTGGATAGCCTATGAGAAGAGAATGCTATTAGTATCGAAACCATGTAATTTATAACATAATTCAAAAAAGTGCTGACGATGAGAAACATTCAACATTTTTTTTTACAAAAGATGAAAGTAAAATAGAAATGCACTTAACTATGAAATTTCTGGATTGGTTAGTCCAAAAAGAGGGCCCTTACCAGGAAGTACTCAGGTTTACCAAGTAGGAATCAGTCATACTTGGAGCATCAGACTGTTCAATAGTAATTCTGGTGAATTCTCCCATAGAAAAGTTGACAATCTGACTCTACTACTGGCTATCCTCCCCACCTAACAAGTCAATGACGTGACAGGAGAATACTGAGGTTACTTCTTTTCCTTCAAGGCACATTTGGTATGGATCTTTTTTCACAAGCATGCTGGCGTGAGGTAGAGTCAACACAGAGACACAAAGAACACCCAAAGTAGACTTACTTGCACAAGGTCTTCCTATTGGTAGGGGAGAATTATTACTCAACTTTAATTTGTAAAAAGACAATTATAATCCCAGTAAATATGTACCAGTAAATTTCTGAATTTACATGTAAACTGATATTTCAACTATGAATCACATTTTTAATTATTCTTTAAAAATTTCATACGATGGGCTTCCCTGGTGGTGCAGTGGTTGGGAGTCCGCCTGACAATGCAGGGGACACGGGTTCGTACCCCAGTCCGGGAGGATCCCACATGCCACGGAGCAGCTGGGCCCGTGGGCCATGGCCGCTGGGCCTGTGCATCCGGGGCCTGTGCTCCGCAACGGGAGAGGCCACAGCAGTGAGAGGCCCGTGTACCGCAACAAAAAAAAAAAAAAAAAAAAAAAAAAATTCAGAGGATACATTCTCTTCACTTTCATAAACTTTAATAGGAAGATATTTAATGTTTTAACTTTAATGATTCCAGTTATTTGTAAAGCAAGTAATCTATGAAACACGTAAATGCAATTGGCTCATATTAAAGGTATGTTTTAGAGAAATTTGTTTTCATAGAAAACCCACTTTTTTGGGGTAACAAACTTATGCATTTAGATTCAGATTTTAAGGTTTCCTCTGAATCAAATTTGGAAGAATGAAATTATTTTCAAAGGTTCTTTGGATCTGACTGGGAGAAAATCCTTTACTAGATCTCAAAATCCTTAAGAGCCTGGACTTTAGCTGTTCCACTGTTGTCACCAGCCTCTAACATGGTGCCCAGCATAGAGCAGGTACCCAGTAAATACCTCTTGAACAAGCACATCAGTACCAAGAACATTAATTCCACATGACTTTCTGTTAACTACAAAAGGACTGAGTGGGCTTGAAAAATAGTGTCTACTTTTATATGGATTGCAGCTTTTCTATATAAAACTAAGAAATACCTAAGTAGCCAAATCTTGTAAAGGGCTCTTACAAGAAAGCAAGGCTGCTAGTATCTAGAGAAGGACAAAATGACTTTCCTCATTTAAAAAGTATTCTTAACCTAGAGCCAATGAATGGGTTCTAGGAGGTCATATGCTTCCCTTTCCACACACATAAATGCGTGCAAAGGATTACGATATGAATATGAGTCTGGGGAAAAGATTCAGAGCTTTCTTCCTATGCCCAAAGAAGTCTGTGACTTGAAAGAGGTTAAGAATCTCTGCTGAACAAGTCAGGTAGGAGACTTAGACAACTGGTCTACACAGTAGCCAAATTCAAAGGAGAAATTCACATCCAGTGGGAAAAATTTTTTCCCCCTCAGAAGTGATCTTTGCAATTCCTTGGTATTTATTAAGAGAGCTAGATAAACTCTGTCTATACTTTAACAGAAAAGACAAATTAATAATAATAGTCCTACTGCATAGACATCAATACAGTAATTTAAAAGATCAGCAATACATCTCTCTCACACTTAAAAAAATCTTTTTTTCTTTTATTACTTTTTTGATTTATCCATTACTCTGTGTATATTGATTTAGTCAGTACAGATATCTAAGCACATATTTGTTTATAAAGGGCAATGAGATCAAATTTGTAGAAGGATATTATAAAAAAACCCCAAAACTTTTACCCTTTTGACTTAACCAAATCTGCCGCTCTCCAGATTCAAGAATATTCCTTATCAAATAGAAATAGTGCATGATCCTGAATTTAGTTAAAGTGAAGTCTCAGTTACCCCTAAAACAAGAAGATCTGCTGTAGAGACTTTTGAACAACATGCACATAGAGCCATACTACCAGCATTGCCTCTAGATGATTATGTCTCTGATCTTTGGTGATAGTTTTATTAGCAAACGTCTACAAAACAGTACAAAACACATACACACGCTTTGCTCAAAAGAACGTACTTAAGTTCATTTCTTTTCTTAGGGTTTTGCAACCACCTCCCCAAACTCTGAAGCAATCGCTTTTCCATGGCTTAATTGTTAGAGGCAATTTGTATCCACCTGTTCTGAATAACAGTCTCCATAACTGAAAAACCTCCCTCTATGACTAAAAAATATTGGTATATTACAGATATTTTCTCTGGGTAGTGAACAGTGTCTCTGGATGATAAAGTATAAAGAACACCTAAGGAATAGTGTTAGAGGATTTTCAGTAAAGCTGTTCACAGTTCATTTGCAGTTCATAATCAATTCAGTGTAACTCATAATGCCATGTTTGCATTTTTAAAACCAAATTCTTGGACTTAAATTCATCATGGGCTTGTGATTTTTTTTCTGACACATACTTGCTACCTAGTTCTTCTTTCTATAAGATGAACTTTTTCCTCCATGAGACAACTTATCAAAGTTGCTTCCACAATCCTAAAGGTTCTTCCTGTTGTTTTTTTTTTTCCCTGCTATTCCTGCATTTTCCCCTGATGTTTAAATCACCTTCTTACTTACGTGAACATTAAAAACTTGGCTAATAATTGTATCCCCTTCTGGGATTTTATCCACTTTTGGATCTGAAATTACACTGTTTAACATCTTCTAACATGGCATACTTAGGCCAATAACGTGAGTTACACCATTTAGCCATCCAGGTGATCATCTAGAGGATGATCTCAAAACTTGAGCCTTGGACCTTCCAGAAACGAAAGAGGAGTTTGACTAAATGATCTGTCATTCGCTGCACCCTTACAATCTCATGATTTGATTATTTTAATGAGTCTTTGGTTTCTAAAATTGATTTCCTGAATGTCTCTTAATTCTATAAAGTATAGAAACGGAAAAGGCTAGGTAAGAATACAAGAGCTGGTGAAAGCAAATAGAGAACACCATATGTTAATAACTGAATTATAACTAGTAAGCTTTATATATTCAAACATCACCTTTGAGAAATACCAAAGAAAGGCAACCAGGATTAATAGGCAACCAAGATTAACCACTCTGTCAGGTTTAAAAGACACAGAATTATAGACTTCATATACAGAGTAATGAAGAAAATTCATATCTAGATTGCTATTATTTGTCACTTTTCAGATAAGAGGAAAATAATAAAAATAGTAAGCCCTTTGTGCATACTTCCTATCAGGGTGTAGTCTTAACTTTTGATTTTCAGGACTGGCTTCCAAGTCAGTGTGAGCCCCCAGAAGTCTAGGAATTCATTTCTGTGTGTCCAGGGCCAGTCCTGCACTGCAACCAAGAGACTCAGACTTTAGGAAATAAGCTACAATAAGATATTACCTCATACCAGTCAGAATGGCCATCATCAAAAAATCTACAAATAATAAATGCTGGAGAGGGTGTGGAGAAAAGGGAACCCTGTTACACTGTTTGTGGGAATGTAAATTGGTGCAGCCACTATGGAGAACACTCCGGAGGTTCCTTCACAAACTAAAAATAGAATTACCATATGATCCAGCAATCCCATTCCTGGGCATATATCTGGAGAAAACTCTGACTCGTAAAGATGCATGCACCCCAATGTTCATAGCAGCACTATTTACAATAGCCAAGACATGGAAGCTACCTAAGTGTACATCAGCAGAGGAATGGATAAAGAAGATGTGGTATGTGTATACACACACACACACACACACACACACACACACACACACACATATATATATGCACTATGGAATATTACTCAGCCATAAAAAAAGAATGAAATAATGCACTTGTAGCAACATGGATGGACCTAGAGATTATCATACTAAATGAAGTAAGTCAAAGACACATATTATATGATATCACTTCTTAAGGGGAATCTAAAAAAATAATACAAATCAACTTATTTACAATCAGAAACAGACTCACAGACACAGGAAACGAACTCTTGGTTACCGAAGGGGAAAGGAGAGGGGGAGGGATAAATTAAGAGTATGGGATTAACAGATACACACCACTATACATAAAATAGATAAACAACAAGGATTTACTTTATAGCACATGGAACTAAATTCAATATCTTATAATAACCTATAATGGAAAACAATAAGACTGTACACCTGAAATTCAACACAATATTGTAAATCAACTATAGTAAAATTAAAACAAACAAACAAAACAAAAAGACTGGTCGGGCAGGTGGGTGGGTGAGTCCAGCCCCTGCAAAGGGAGGGAAGGAAGAGACAAGAAAAGGTGGGTGAGGGTGGGGAGGCATTGAATTTGGTCTCCATGCCTCGCCGGGGCTTTTAACACTTAACAAACCCCGAAAGCAAAGCGACATCATTACCCCTCATTTTGCTTGTTCAAGGTCCTTTCGCCCTCCGAGGTCCAGGTCCTGGCTAAGGGGGGGTCGTGGCTAAGGGGGGTCCTTGCTGTGACCGAAAGCGATAGCGCTGCCCCTGAGCATTCGTCCAGACTGGGTCCTCCCACCAGTGCCCAGGCCTGGCTGAGGAGGCGGATCTCTGCTGGCGGCGCCCTCAGGCCCAGGTCCCGAGACCCTGCCCAGCCGTCATCAGGGAGAGCGCAAGGCACCCAGGACCCAGCCGGCCCTGAGGCTCTTTGGGTGGCGCAGGCCTCCAACGGCACAGCTGCCGTGGGATCCTTGTGCGCCTGCGAGCGAGCGGGGTGTTGGGGGAGGGGAGTGCACGTGCGCAGACTCACTAGAGTCTGGCGGGCCATGTTCTCAGAGCCGAGCAGACTAGCGCTGGGTGTCCCTCGGAATGGCTGCTCCAAACCACCGTTTCTCGTATTTGCCTTTCTGGTGCGTTTCTTATATATATATCCGCTGCAGAGCGACCAGGATCTCTGATGAAAAGTCAGTCCTTCACCGTTCTCAAGAAAAATTTTGGCCACAAATGCACTTTAGAAGGTTTACATATTGAAAAAGGCAAGTAGCTGAGTCATTGCCTCTTTTTAAACGTTAAGTAGTCAAAGAAGGAAATTAATGAAGAGACTATTTAGCAAGACACCGGAATGACCTTTTGGTCTACCAGCTGAGGTGAGTTTAGCTTTCAGGTTATACCTGGCATTAGCTTTCTGTTGGATGTGGACAGTAGTTGAAACAGTGTTTATGAAGAGATGTGTAAAGAAGTAGGGGTAGCAGCAGCTAGAAGATAGACGAGAGGCAGATCTGGAAAGGCGGGAAAACAGCGAACGCAAGCCAGCAATGTAATCTTGAATTAGCTGAAAGTAGAGATCACCCTGTTATGCAACCATTATGACTTCGGCATTAAAGTACCTGGAGAGCACATGTTCCTGCAGCTCCTGAACCTTGTGAAATGTAATTTATTCCAGGAAAATTTATCTTGGCATTTTGGAAGTTAAAAGTCAGGTTTGGGATGTAAATATTTAGTGAGAGATAATAGCCAGTGATCAAAACATTGAGAAAGAGAAACTGACTTTTCTTTTATAAAGAAGTTGCCTAAGCGCCACTAATACCCTTGGCCAAAGCACAATTACAGGTATGTCTTAAAGCTGCCAAGATCTTTTAGGATTATTTTATAGCCTGAAAATCAGTTATAAACTCAATAACTTTAGCTTTAGCCCCATGGCTAGCTTCCTTACCTTGTGACTCTAAAGCCTCCTCAATTACAAGAAAACAAATATGCCAGGGTCTCCTAAAACCTTTACATTTTGTATTGGTCGGTATATCACTGAGGGTTACCTGTCTAAGAGCAGAGAGGGTTCTGACAATATTAAGCATTCTGTGTGCTAAAGCAAGAAGAACTCCCTTGAATGTGTCTTCAACCTCAGGACTATGGATTTAGTAGAAATGAGAGTCAGTTCTGATGAGATGGTGCCCTATTGTAACTTGCTGCCATGATTGATTGATTGATTGTGAGACAAGTGCAGTATCTTTTCCTTTTATTTAAGATTTAGCCAACAGTCTCTGGAAATTATCTTGGATTTGATGATTTTCTTGGATGGGGGCTCAAATATATATTAATATTTCTTCAGTGACTATGAATACGTATTCATTCACATGTATTCAGTATGAACGTAGGTGAGAAGAGATGAGCGAGTCAAACTGCGAGACAGTCCAAGTTCCTTGGTACTTCTTAATTCCTCTGATAATATCACAGATTGGTAGGCCAACCTTACTTTTCTCTGTCCCTGTAACCTGGATCTAGAAATTCGGAATTCATTTATTTTTAATTTTTATCCTTTGGTCCTCAATAATTTTGCATCCTTCAACAATGATAGTCATGGTTTGACATCCCATTTGACTTTTAATCTTTGTTATCTTAAATTTTTCTCCATGCAGATTATGTTGTTCATTTCCCTTGAATTGGTGCTCAGGATACAAAAGACATTATGAGGAAATGTGGTGAGACCACCATGCCTGATATAATGCTGTTAAAACCATTGTTGGGGATCATTGCAAGGACTCTGTAAGCCCTGATAAAATATCTTGTCCAAAGTGCTACAAGGAATTTCATTTTACTTATACTCAGGAGAAAACGTATGCTTCCTCTCTGCAAACATCAGACTGTTCTAGTAAGAAAAATGGAAATAAATCTCTGTAACACTAGGGCACTGAAGCAATTGAGTTCATTGAGGAAGTGCAATATGTATAAATATTTATATAAATTAAATATATATGTATGTATACACATACACGCACATATATACCTATGTAGTAGATTTAAGTTTTTATATATTCCACCCTTGAACAAGGTGAGGGACCCCCACACAGTCAAAAATCCACCTATAACGTTGTAGTCAGCCCCCCCATTTCCATGGTTTGGCATCCATGGATTCAACCAACCACAGACTGTATAGTGCTGGATTGTGTATTTATGTATTGGAAAAAAAAATCTGTGTATAAATGGACCCATGCAGTTCAGATCGTGTTGTT